ATCCTTCACATTCCATCATCATCACATATGAACATTAAGAAAGGACATACTTCCAATCACAATACAATAACAACTTATACAAGATCACTTTGAGATCACATGAACACCTTTACATTCACAACATGATTACCTATACATCATTAGATTCTCATTCAAATCCTTCACATCACATTAACATATATGATATCATGTCAACACTTCAACTTCCTCATACAATGCCTTCAAGGCCATAATCACAAAAACATTTAACATATAAGCACCTCCACCATAAGTGGATCACACATCAATCTATCACAATTCTATATCAATTCTACATTAACAATGAAGTTAGGTCAACTTACCCTTTTTCCAAAGCCACAATCATCATTCTGCAATTCTTCAACAATTCACAATAGATAAACATAGATAATAATAGAAAAAAACTATTCAACTCAATCTAAGCATAATTCCATCATCATTCAATCATAAACATTCAACCCACTTCATAAGCCAAATTTAGGAAACTTGGAAAGACATGGGTTCATGGAATTTTATTTCTTAAAACCATCAATAAACATCAATAATAGCATATATCATCATTAAAAATCATTTAATGCAAGAACCCATGCTTAGAATCAAAATTAGGTTTTTTTGTGTTTTTGGAAAAACTTTGAAATCATTTGGATTGAGCTCCTTGAAAGGAAGAATAATCAAGGATAAAGGATCCCCATACCTTAACCTTCATGAATCCCACGAATTTTTGAGAAGTAAACACTTGAAACCTTCAACCCTAGCTTGAACTTGACCTAGCCTTTCAATGGAGTTCTAGACAGAACCTTTTAGGAGAGAAGGGTTTTGATTTAGGGAAAAGTGAAGAATGAATTCTAAAATACCATATTAATGTTTTAATACTCTTAAAATACTTAAAAATACTTAAAAATAATATTTACGAAAGCACCCCTTACCCACATGGACTTACTAAATAAAACTAAGGCAAAGTCCAAGGGAGCATTTAAGATCCTTGAAGTGATCCACTTGCCTTGGACCCTCCCTTGGACTTTGCCTTTGGATTTTTAAAGCTAAGGCATATCCATGGGAGTATTCAAATGACCTACTTATATCATATATATATATAAAATAGGTTATACCCATTTAATTTAGACCAAAAAGAAAATTACGAAATTACCCCTTTTTATGCTTCCCCTTGGATTGCCCAAATAAAACTAAGGCAATCACCAAGGGAGCTTCAAAGGGCCTTGGAATGGTCTACCATCCGGCTAAGGCGAAGTTCAAGGGAGCTTCGAAGGGCAATGATGCCTTTTGCCTTCCTTGAACCCTCTCTTGACTTATACTTAGTCAAATCTTTTTGAAAATTTCATAACTCCAATTTATGCTTTAACTTTTAAGATTCATACGTTATGCTCTAGTTTCACCTATCAATTTTTTTAGGGTTTTACTACAGAAAATGATGAAGAAAAGAAAAGGGAAGTGTTGTTCACACCACATTTCATGATGACTATAACCATTAAGACTAAATAACCATACCTTTGCACTCACCCCCATTACAGGCCTTGAAAAGACATTTGTGATCTTGAGTAAGCTGAAGCAAGTATCGATTGGAAAATACGGGCAAACCTATAGGTGAAATAATGCATTGTGTTCATCTTTGTGAGTGTGAGCGTTGCATTTGATTCCGAAGCTTTAAATTGTGAACCATTGTGTGAATATGGAATCATTCTTTGTGTGAGGGCATTTGAACACTTTAGTTGAGTTTGAACTTGCATTTGAAGCAAGTATTGGGAGCTTGGGATTCTTTGATATTGGTAAGTCACAACTTGAAACTTTGAGTGCACATTTGTTCCTTGCATAAGTAAGTTGAATCTTTTTGTGTGCATTAATTATTGAGTCTTGTGTAGCACTATTTGAGGCATCCTTTTCGAACTGCGGAACTTGAGTTTTACTTAAGGACAAGCAAAAGTTTAAGTTAGGGGTGTTGATGAGTCCACAGTTTGGACTCATTTAGGGATTGATTTTAATAGAATCAGTGTCCTTGAATTTCAGACATTTGAACTTAGGAACCAAGCATGGACAATATGGAGCAAAAAGGAACAAGGAAGCTGAAAGAACGAAGAAGAGAAGACCTGAAGATCGCCAAAACCATTGGGCGAGTCGTCGAATGGCCATGGTCTCGCCTAATGTTCTATTGTGCTAATCCCTGGAAGAGGTGACCACGTTGGCGATAGAAAAGAGCATTAGGCGGATCTCCGAACAGCCACGATACCGCCTAAAGTTACAGAATGCCGGATAAACTAAAGGTCATTTCGGCAAGCAGCAAAGCCAATTGGCATGTCGTTGATCTATTAAGCAAAGGACAATTAGGTCGCCAAAGATTGCTGAAGAAGTTCTGAACACACATTGATGAGTGAAATAATAGACATAAGGCGATTCGCGGAAGTGTTCGGTGATCCCGATCTGGATCGCCTAATGTTACAGTAGCCGAACCAAGAAAGAGTGAAAACTGAAGGCGAGATAAAGAACAATCGGAGCATCGCCGACCTGTCGGCCACATCCGACTAACCTCGCCGAATGGTCTATAACAGTCACACATTAGACTTATTTAAATTGATTTTTGGAAAGGAAAGTGGGTATTCAGTAACGAACAAACAAACAAATTAGAGAGAGGATAACACCAAAGGCTCTGGAGAGGGATTTTAATCAAAATATTCTTAGAGATTTTGTAATCAAGAAGATTTTTAGCTGATTTCTTCATAAAAATTATCATTTTCTGTATTCACTTATGGGAAGAAGAATGGATGTTAATTTCTCTACTTTTGATATGAGTGGCTAAAATCCTTATCTTGGGGTTTTGACTATGAAGCCAATTGTTGAAGTTTTGCTAAATGGATATTGTTGAAATGGGAAGAAGAATGGATGTTAATTTCTCTACTTTTGATATGAGTGGCTAAAACCCTTATCTTGGGGTTTTGACTATGAAGCCAATTGTTGAAGTTTTGCTAAATGGGTATTGTTGAAATACGAATAGGGAGGTTAATTTTAAGTGGGTCTGAATTGTTACTGCATTTTGAAGTTGTTTTGCATAATTAGTGTAATTTATTCCGCGGTGTGAGCTTACTCGAGAGAGAAGCATAGAACCAAGGTAGCAATCTTAGCATCCTTAGTAGTGGGTTTACCCGGATTTCAGCTCGAGAGAGTGAAATCCAAAATCTATCCTTTGTATCTAGCTCGAGAGAATTGATTTGATGAGGACAAAGGGCTGAGCATCTTGCGATCAGTGATGAAGTTCGAGAGAATTCGTCATAGAAAAGGTAATTGTTCGAGAGAAAGTTATCTTATATATGGCCCAACCTACCCACAACAAAATAACCTACTGTTCATATCAACATTCACCCTCTAATGTAAAATTCAACAATTGGTTGGTTAATTCCCCAAGTTCTACTCTAGTATTTGTTTAATTCGTGTTTATTCGTGAAGTTAGATTGAAATTTGCTAAATATAACCATAACCTTGAAGGCATAACAAGTATAATATTGAAGAGATTGTGTCAAAGTTTCATTTTCGAATTTGTAGGAAAAACTATTCCCTTGGGACTCGACCCCAACCCTTGGTTGAGTTATATTACTATTAAACGATTGTTGATGCTTAGTATTGGATGAAGTATCTTTGATAGCATTTATCACAAGTGTACCATTAACTTCGACTCGCCCTCAGCTCTAGCCAGTTTCCAGCACATCAGATTTCAGGGTGAGCTATTCCTTCTAGCTCACGCTGGATTCTCTCAGTCATGGCATGATGTCCTTAAATTTCGGGCATAGACCTTTCTATTAACATTCTTTGGTGTCTTTAATACTCCTACACTTGGTATTTTGAGGACAGATGTCCTTGATGTAATGACTTTCAGGTTTTGGTATAATAAGTGATAGACTTTAGAGGTTTATTTAATTGGTTACTTTAATAAGTTTTGAGCTTCCGCATTATTGTTGTTATTCGTAGTTGAATTATTGATATAATTTTGGTTGGATTTGTTGCTTCGCTCATTTAGGAGGTTAAGTGTGGGTCCCCCTCAGGACTAGTTTTGGGTCGTAACAAACTTGGTATCATAGCTTTAGGTTCGATGATCTCATCACACAAGGACAAGTCTAGTGGAGTCTTGCGGAACGGTACGCGGACGCCTTTACTTTTCTTCGAGAGGCTATAGGACTTTAGGAAAACTCATATTTTTCTTTCTTTCGTGCTATTACTTGAATCCAATTGGTATCTAGGTGATACAAATTGATATCTGACCTTCTTCACGCTATTTCGCAGATGGTTAGAACTAGAGCAACAGTTGTGACAACACCAACAGCGGCAAGACAAGGTGCGCCTGAACTAACCATTAGGGCTGCAGCTCGAGGGGAAGCAATGGCGAGAGGTCGAGGTAGAGGTCGCGGGAGAAGGCCCACTAGAGGTAAAGGACAAGGGATAGAGTGGTGACTCCTCCACCGACTGACGAGGTAGTGAGAGAGGGTGATGAAGGGGAAGATGAGCAGATTGAGGAGAAGGAAGTACCACCCCAGCCTACTCCAGAGATGATTAATCAGGTTCTCACTTATCTTAGAGGATTATCTGATCAGGGCCAGGCACCGCCAGCATTTTCTACACCGGCACCTCAGGTTCAGGGAGTACAACATGCAACTATTGTGGGCATGGATGCGTCCTTGGAAACAAGCATGTTTCCCCGATTAACTACAAGGCCTATAATGACTAGTGACCAGCATGACCTTTCCATTAAGTTCTTAAAGTTGAAACCTCCAGTCTTCAAGGGTACTGAATCTGAAGATGCTTATGATTTCCTGGTTGAATGTCATGAGATGTTACATAAGATGGACATAGTGGAGCGATTCGGTGTTGAGTTTGTGACCTACTAGTTTCAAGAGGATGCCAAAATATAGTGGAGGTCTCATGTTGAGTGTCGACCATCAAAGGCACCACCTCTGACTTGGGCAACATTTTCTAGTTTGTTCATGGAGAAGTATATACCCCAAACTTTGAGTGATAGGAGGAGAGATGAGTTCCTAATCCTAGAGCAAGGAAGGATGTCTGTTGCAGCTTATGAGGCCGAATTTCGTGCATTATCCAGGTATGCCACTCAGCTTTGCTTCAATCCGCAAGAGCAGATTCACCGCTTTGTGAAGGGATTGAGGTCAGATTTGCAGATTCCAGCTTTACAGGTAGCTGCTTCTGTAAAATCTTTTCAAGAAGTGGTTGATTTTGTGATAAAGGTAGATGGGGTGAAACCGGATGACTTCACCAAAGTGTCAACATTTAAGAAGTTCCGTAAGGAATTAATTTAGTGGTTCTTACTCAAGAGGGCAGAGATCAGGGGGTTATCCACCTCGTCTTATTCAGTCTTCATTGCAGGTTTCAGTTGAGGGTCCGTCGTAGACCAACCTTTTTCTGAGTTTGGGGGTTATCTCCAGTGTTCTTTATTTTCACAGATACCTACATTCGACTCCAGGAATTGTTATGGATATGGAAAGGTCGAATATATCAGGAAATATTATCCAAAGCAGAGTCAGGCTCGGTACGATCAGAGTTACAGATCCCCAGCAATTAGAGGTAGAGGAGGTCATGTTAGAGGCCGTCATTCTAGAGGATATGGTGGCCAAGGTAATGGTGGTCACCAGTTCAATCGGGGTGGCGAGCAGGTTGGAACTACTGAAGAGCAACCCGGAAGGGGAAATGGACAGACAGGTGATAGAGCCCATTGTTATGCTTTCCCCAGGAGGTCAGAGGCAGAGACATTTGATGTTGTTATAACAAGTAATCTTCTGGTCTGTGATCGCATGGCTTCCGTATTATTTGATCCTGGATCCACATTTTCTTATGCATCTTCCTTGTTCGCTACTGGACTTGATTTGCATTGTGATTTGCTTGACATGCCTATTCGTATCTCTACTCCCGTTGGTGAATCTGTGATAGTTGAGAAGGTATATAGGTCTTGCCTTGTGACTTTTGTGGGGAGCAATACTTATGTAGATTTTATTATTTTAGAGATGGTTGATTTTGATGTAATTTTGGGTATGACTTGGCTTTCTCCAATTTTTGCTTTCTTAGATTGTAATGCTAAGACTATGACCTTGGCCAAGCCTGGGATAGATCCACTAGTGTGGGAGGGAGACTACATTCCCGCCCTAGTTTGTATTATCTCGTTTCTTCGTGCTAAGAGGTTGGTGAGTAAGGGTTGTTTAGCTTTCTTGGCACATCTCAGGGATGATACTTCCAAAGTGCCGTCAATCGAGTCTATTTCGATAGTCCGTGAGTTTGCAGATGTTTTTCCTGCAGACCTGTCTGGTATGCCAACAGATAGAGATATTGATTTTTGTATTGACCTGGAGCCGGGGACTCGCTCCATTTCCGTTCCACCTTATAGAATAACCCCAACTAATTTAAGGGAGTTAAAGGCCCAACTTTAGGCCTATAGACTGAGTGCATCTCCTTGGGGTGCTCCAGTTTTACTTGTGAAGAAGAAGGATGGTAGTTTTCGGATGTGCATAGACTACATGCAGTTGAATAAGGTAACTATTAAGAACAAGTACCCCATTCCTCACATTGATGACTTGTTCGATTAGTTAGAGGGTGTTTGTGTCTTCTCTAAAACTGATTTGAGGTTCGATTATCATCAATTGAAAATGTGGGCAACAAATGTGCTAAAGACTGCTTTCCGAACCAGGTATAGGCATTATGAATTCTTAGTAATGTCCTTTGGGCTTACGAATTCCCCTGCTGCTTTCATGACCTTGATGAACATAATTTTTAAGACATATCTAGACCTCTTTGTTATTGTATTCATTGATAATATACTAATATACTCAAAGAGTATGAAGGAACATGAAGAGCATTTGAGAATTGTATTGGGGTTATTAAGGGAGAAAAGGCTTTATGCCAAATTCTCCAAGTGTGAGATTTGGCTCGATTCTGTGTCCTTCTTGGGGCACATGGTTTCTAAGGATAGATTGATAGTGGACCCACTAAGATTGAAGTAGAGAAGAGTTGGGTAAGGCCTACTAATGTTTCAGAGGTAAGGAGCTTTGTTGGTTTAGCTAGCTACTACCGTCGATTCGTCAAGGGATTCTCTTCCATTGCTTTCCAGCTGACCAATTTGACCAAGCAAAATGTTCCATTTTGTATGGTCGGATGAGTGTGAAGAAAGTTTCCTGAAACTCAAAACCTTGTTGAATACTGTACTGATTCTTGCCTTGCCAGTGGAATGTAAGAATTTCATTGTTTATTGTGATGCATCTTATACTGGTTTAGGTGCAGTGTTAATGCAGGAGAGGAATGTAATTGCCTATGCTTCAAGGAAATTGAAAGTGCATGAACGTAACTATCCGACCCATGATTTGGAGTTGGCTGCAGTTGTATTTACATGGAAGCAGTGGAGGCATTTCTATATGGGGTCAAGTGTGAAGTGTATACAGATCATCGCAGTTTACAATATGTGTTTACTCAGAAGGATTTGAATTTGAGGCAGAGGAGGTGGATAGAGTTATTGAAAGACTATGATATTACTATTTTATATCACCTAGGAAAAGTTAACGTTGTGGCAGATGCCCTAAGTAGAAAAGTAGGAAGCATGGGTAGTTTAGCCCACTTACTGGTTTCTAGACGCCCATTGGCTAGAGAGGTTCAAACTCTGGCTAATGACTTTATGAGGCTAGCAGTACTTGAGAAAGGAGGATTTTTGGCCTGTGTGGAGGCAAGATCTTCTTTTCTTGAAAAGATTAAGGGAAAGCAGTTTGATGATGAGAAGTTGAGCCGAATTTGAGATATGGTATTGCAAGGAGAGGCTAAAGAGGTTGTGATTGATGAGGAAGGCGTCTTGAGAATTAAGGGGCGGGTATGTGTGCCCCATTTTGATGATTTGACTCACACTATTCTTGCAGAGGCTCATAGTTTGAGGTATTCTATACATCCTGGTGCAACCAAGATGTATCGTGATCTGAGACAACATTATTGGTGGAGTAGAATGAAGCGTGAAATTGTTGATTTTGTTGCCCAATGTCTGAATTGTCAGCAGGTAAAGTATGAACATTAGAGGCCTTGAGGGACACTTTAGAGAATGCCCATTCCTGAATGGAAGTGGGAAGAATTGCAATGGATTTTGTGGTTGGTCTTCCAAAGACATTGGGTAAGTTTGATTCTATTAGGGTAATTGTTAACAGGTTAACTAAGTCTGCTCACTTCATTCCGGTCAAGATGACTTACAATGTAGAGAAGTTAGCCAAACTCTATATCTGTAAGATTGTTCGATTGCGTAGAGTTCCAATTTCCATCATATCAGATAGAAGTACACAATTTACTTCTAACTTTTGGAGGACCTTGCATGCTGAATTAGGTACTAGATTGGATCTTAGTACCGCATTTCACCCTCAAATCGATGGGCAGTCTGAGCTAACAATTCAAGTGCTGGAGGATATGCTTCGTACGTGAGTGATAGATTTTGGTGGTCATTGGGATCAATTCTTACCCTTAGCAAAGTTTCCGTACAACAATAGCTATCACTCGAGTATTGATATAGCCCCATTTGAGGCATTATATGGGAGGAGATGTAGGTCTCCCATTGGTTGGTTTGATGCATTCGAGGTGAGACCTTGAGGGAATCGTTAGAAAAAGTGAAATTCATTCAGGAGAAGCTTCTAGCAGCTCAGAGTAGGCAGAAAGAATATGCAAATCGGAAGGTCAAGAACTTAGAGTTTATGGAGGGTGCGCAAGTTTTGCTGAAGGTTTTACCCATGAAGGGTGTGATGCGGTTTGGTAAGCGGGTAAGCTTAGTATAAGGTATATTGGGCCATTTAAAGTTCTTAAGTGTGTGGGGGAGGTGGCCTATGAATTGGCCTTGCCTCCATGGTTGTCAGGAGTGCACCCGGTATTTCATGTGTCCATGCTGAAAAAATACCATGGTGATGGAAACTACATTATTCATTGGGATTCGGTCCTGCTTGATGAGAATATGTATTATGAGGAGGAGCCTGTAGCTATTTTTGATAGGGAGGTCCACAAAATGAGGTCAAAGGAGATTTCATCTATCAAGGTTTAGTGGAAGAATCGGCCAGTTGAAGAGTCCACTTGGGAGAGTGAGGTTGATATGCATGAAAGATATCCACACTTTTTTATCAATTCAGGTACCCTTCCTTGCCCTCGCTTTCTCTTGATCGTTCGAGGACGAACGATGGGTAAATTGGTATCTAATGTAACGACCTTTTTGGTTGTTTTGAGTACTAGAGCTTTTTATGGCAGAAAATACTTTCCGATAGATTTTAAATGAGTATTTTGGACTATTCGTGACTACAATTATGAAATTAGTGGGTAGTTTTAATAATTAATTTAGTTGGTGGTTAAAGAAGATAACATTAGAATTAATAGAGGATCACTTTCACCACTTTAATAATTTTGAAGCTATACAATTAGGGTAATAATTGATCAGTAGAAAAGAAGAAAATTAAAAAAAAAAAGAGCCGCACAATTGTCAAGAACAAATTGAAGAAGCGCTTCAGGTGAGCAAAATTTTTTTTCAGCTTTCAATATTAGAGTGTTGCTCATATAAATAGATTATTATATTGGTATGTATTTAAGAAGAAGGAGGTGAATTGTTATCCCTTTTTATACCCACACAAATTTGGTTGGAAAATTGAAAAGTGTTAAGGACGTGATGATTGGCCAAAATATAAGTAGAAACAATTAATAGTTGAAAGATTAGGTTGCAGGGAAGGTTGTATATGTTATATATGATATATGTGTGGAATTAGACGGTAACTGCTGTATATAGATTTGGTGCAGTTATTGTTCAAATCTCGTATATTCTGCTAGTTGCCGAAAGGAGAATGTGCAAACAAAATTTTGGGGGTGAGAGCAATAGTTGAAAAATTGCCATTTGTTGATGTGGATAATTTGCAGTAGTTAAGGAGTTGTACAGAAAAGGCAGATTTTCTTTTCTTTCTATTTTGGTGGATCTTTGCCATTTAAGCTTTTGAATATTACTTGGGCAATGTCTTTGTTTCAATTGGAGTAATGATTAGCGATCATTGGCTAATGATTGATAAATTGGGTTTGTAGTATATGATAAATTATGTTAGAGTTGTTGCCACTGGTTTTCGAAACCGGTGGCTTACTCTTGAATTTTATTACGTGTTTATCATCTTATAAATTGAGTTTCAGTATATTGAGATAGGTAATTAAAGATTAGGTGGATCGAATTATTTAAATTCAATTAAAGTTATGTTAATTGGAGGAATTAAGACCTACCCTTAGGTTTGAACTTTAGTAAATTGATTATATAATTAGGTGATTTTTGGGTCTAGGCTAGACATAGAATAATATGAGTGTGTGTGTATAGACTCGTTAACTTACAAATTTGCATATACACTTGATAGATTGGAAAGGTTCAGAGGCATTAAGGAAAGGAAAAGCATTGGAGAAGCAGTTTGCTTGATTTCGGTTCTTCGGTGGATGTAGGTTATGGTTTATTCTATTTGATAGATAGACTCTTAATAGTGATTGATATGCAATTGAGTGATATTGTGAAGTTTTCTATGTACTTGATTGTGTAGTTGTGTGGCTTGGTTGTGTGGTTTGTGATTGGTCTGAAATCCTGAGACCATGAAATTTATAATCTTGAACCCTCTCTATCGAAGTGATGCCTTGAATATAGAAGGCTTAATGAAATATTGTTAAGGAAGTGGAAAGAGATGATAAGAATGACAAATGAATTAACCATATTATTGGATCGGGGTGTCACATTTCGACATGGTATTATTGGACCGGGGTGTCACGTTCTAGCGCGGTAACATTAAAGGAAGAAGATATTGAATTGACTTAATGTACTCAATCTCAAAGAACCCATTTCCCAAATGAGCGTGATATGGAGGCATGAGTCCCCGTATGTGTGCTTGATATTGTGATTGATTGTGTACTTGCTTCCGTTGTCACTTGTTCATGTTGTTTGTTGCTTTCCACATGCTAAGTGTCATAGTTGATTTTATACTATTATTTATAGCATATTAGTTTCTATTTATGGTTGGCCGATGATACCTACTTAGTACGTGTTCCTTGTACTGACCCCTACTTGTGTTTTCTTCATTTTCTTTTGTGGAGTGCATCAAGTGTACATCTACTTCTACTCGCCCTCAGCTCTAGCCAGTTTCCAGCACATTAGATTTCAGGGTGAGCTATTCCTTCTAGCTCGTGCTGGATTCTCTCAGTCATGGCATGATGTCCTTAAATTTCAGACATAGACCATTCTATTAACTTACTTTGGTGTCTTTAATACTCCTACACTTGGTATGTTGAGGACAGATGTCCTTGATGTGATGACTTTCAGGTTTTGAGAATAATAAGTGATAGGCTTTAGAGATTTATTTGATTGGTTACTTTAATAAGTTTTGAGCTTTCGCATTATTGTTGTTATTCGTAGTTG